TGTATTTATCAAAAGTGCAATGCCTTGGAAGCTGGTAATATTGAAGACTGCTGTTGTGGCAATAAAATTTCAGGTTTAATTTTTTTTCTAAAGGAAGCCCAACAAACAAGTATTTCTTTTTCGCAGTATGATCTCTATTTGTCCTAGGTGACTGGAGAAGCAATACTTTCCCAGTTGTAGATCCCAGCTATGTGTATGGTTTGCTAATTCTGCACATTTGCAGTGGTAGTTTAATTGAAGTTGTGCCCAGTCTATGTCATCCCTTTCTGCATCCATGTGATTCTGCTACTGTTACTATTGTGACACCTTTGTAGATTAGTGTATTTATGGTTTGTGTGCCTAGAAAAGAGATTTGTTGGATTTGAGATCTCTGTGTATAGGCAGAATACAATTGTCTCAGAAATGTCTGAAGCCCATGGATGTGAGAATTGGGACTGGAGATTCTGCCATTAAATTTTACTTGGGTTTCCTGAAAGACTCCTCATTTACCTTATAACCTGCCTTTATGTCGTCCCTTTTCTTCCTGCAGAGTTTTAAAACATTTGGTTGGTGCAAAAACTATACAATGAACATTATGAGTTTCCACTGTAAATATTGATTGGTGAAAAAATTGTATTTTGGATCGTCACCCATAAACCACATCCTGTTGTGTATCTCTCAGCCTTATACAAATATCCACAATCAAAACCAGGTATTGAAGTTGGAAACCCACTTCTCTGTTTATATACTTCCTCCACTGACTATTTTGGAGCCATAGTTCCAATTAGGAAAAGCATAAGTTTCTGTGGCTCATTATTTTGGTATTGTTTTACCAAGACAGCTACAAAGATCAGCTTTCTCATATATTCCACAAAAATGTGGCGAATGTTTGTTTATATTAAGAAGATGGATATCTCTGTTAAAGATCTGCAGTGTGAATGAGAGTAACCTGCATAAATAGCATTTTTCTCTGAAGCTCATTAGGATAGTATACCGTAGAGGCAAAAATGACTACTGACAAATACAAGAAGAAAAATGAGACAAGCAGGAGCTGCTTAGAGTCACCTTTAATAAGTCCAAGTTCTCAACAGGACTTCAGATAGCCTTTTATAAGCTGAATAAATGTTAGCAGCACTGTGTTATTTATCTTCTGCTCCACTGCATCCTCTTTAAATGTAGTAAAGTTATGAAGTTGCTTAGATGGAGAGAGTCTTTTGGTTGCTGTTTAGGCATTATACATTAATAGGTTAATGTGTGTGAACCTCCCAGTTGGAAGTTTCTAACACTAACTTACAGTTTCCATCAGAGATCAAAGTAATTTACTAACATAAATTATCTATACATAGGACTGAAAGAAATTAATAATAACAATAAGGCACCTCCAGGAGGTAATCACCACACCAAAACCACTCATCTGTACCTTGTAGCCCCGTAGGGGTTTGTAATTATCTCCTGCAAACCACACCTCTAGTGATTGCTTTTTGTTCCCTCATTTCAATGCTGCCACTTGGAGTATTTTGCCTGACATATTTAAAAAAAAAAAAAAGCTTAGAAATGGAAAACTTTGGCAGTCATGCAAACACAAAATGTTAAAAGTACAAGAAATACTGAAGAAATGCAGCTAATACAGATTTTAATAGCAACAAAGAAGTACTAAATGTGATTCTGTAGGCATTTAAAGAGGCACTTCTGCTTTTTTTTGCTTCAAGTTATTCACTGGAATGAGCCCCTCATCTGCTGCATTTCTCATGGCTTGCTGGTGATCTATGGAAAACTGGCTGTTTACATGATGCTGGCTTCTTCTCCAAGCTTCCTGCAGCTAAAATTGGCATTAAAAGAGCCTAAAATGCATTAAATTCTCCCATAAAATTACTCTTCTGTGTAGACAATTGCAGTATTTGCACAGAAATATAACATGATTGCAGATAGAGAAAGGCTGGTGAGAGGTCGTGGTCTTAGTGGCATAACTGCCACGAAGAATTTACATACATATTTCTAAAGAGCCTCCTCCAGCCTCTGCTGAAGCACTCGGATCAGAAACAACAATCCTAACACTATTTTATGCTTACTAAACACACTCTAGCCTTAGCACAAGTAAAAAAAAAAAAAGGAAGAAAAATAAAAAAAGAAAAAAATCCACTCAAAGGGACAATTAGAAGCATGGTATTGATTTGAAAGTACCTTCAAAAATAGGTATTTAGATATTCTGTCAGTGAGGTACATCTCTGATGAATACAAGGGAATAAAAGTTCCTGTGCTGCTACAACTGAAGCTCTGTCTAGTGAATTTAGAGGTGAGTGCAAAGCCCTTAAATATCAGGTGATACGCAAGTACAAAGGTCTCTAAGACGGAGTACTAAAACAAGCTTTCAAATATACCCTGTTTCAGTCTTATTCAGAGCCTCATGAATCAACCAGGCTATTTAAACCAAGAATACCAGGTAATTGTGTCTGTGGAGAACACTGGGTGGCTAGGTGAGCTGTGATCATGATAACACAAATCAATAAGCAATTGATTTCTTCCATTCTGAACAAGCTGCAAGTGATAAATCAACTTCACCATTAGCCTGGCCAATATGGACTTTCAAATCTGAATATTGGGGAAACAGGAGCATGTTTTGCTGTCACTGTGCCATTGCAAGCTCAGTTAGAGCCAAGCATGAGCTATGCAGATTGCACAGCTGAAATCCATATTTCCATGATATGAATCTACACTGGGGTTCATAACAATATATGCAGACAGGGAAGAAGAGTAAGTCCTTCCACAACAGTGCAGTCCATGCTGTGAAAGATACCTTCTGTTAGATACAAGTTAAAAATGGAAATTTTCTGATTCTAGGATCTGTTCTTATAGCCCTCCTGGGTCAGATAGAGATCTCTAAGATGCTGCTTCCCAACAATCCTTTTGCAGCCTGCTGAGTCCTAATCTTCTTAGTCGTTCCTTCTGCAGAAGCTGTGTCGTATCTTTGATCATTTCTGCTGCTTTTCTTGGAATCTTTCCCAATTCTACCATACCCTTTCTGAGGTGGGAAGGGCGCTGTAAGTTTTCAAGATAGTGGCAGATGTGCATTCTGACAGCATTTTTATGTGATACACACATTTAGAACCATGAGCTATTTTGTTATGTTCTCCCTGTGCATTTCCTAACTATGTGTGTTATGTATGCTTCCTGACTGCTGGTGATCACTGAGCTTATAGCTCCGTGAAAACCATCTATTACAGTGCCTGGGTCTCATTCCCAACTTGTAATAATCGATTCAGAGTCTGTCACTTTATAGGTATTGCATTATCGTTGCAGCTTTTAAGTTTTTTAAAGCTAAAAGGAAAGGTAACTTCATGGTACCATTCATAATATGTACGGTGCCTGTTCATTGTTGGGCACAACAAAGGATTCTGCATTCCCAAGGATGTCTTCTTAAGACAAGTTCACACACGTTTTGGTAAAGGAGGAAGATGTAAACTCTGAAGTATAGCTGAGTATCCGGCATGCATGCTTCAAATGGGTATAATGCAGAAGCTTATCCAAACTTGGATAAGAAGTGATTATGCGTAAGAGCTATTGAGAGAACTCCTGCTGATGCTGAAAACTTGGTTTGGTGGATGAAATTTAGTTTCTCTTAAATGACTTGGAAGCTCGAGCTCCCAGCTGGAAAGGAGTATTTGGGTTCCTCTTACATGGATGGTAAAGTCGTTAGGACATGGGCTGTCTTTTATCTAGGAAATACCCACTACGTCAATGAATATGTGAGCCAGTTGCCCTCAGGAGTGCTTCCTCAGCTTTTTAAGTAAGGTTCTAACTTCACCTCTTTCAGGTTGGCTCTTCAAACCTGGTATTTTGCCAGATTCTTTTTGCGTTTGTGGAATGGGGAAAACATACATAGTTCTTGCAAAAAATTACCTAGTGTCTTAACAAAAAGCTTGGATACAGCCCCAGAACTTTTCAGCAACCAACCTTCCTGTTTATTCAGAACCAAAGAGATACATCTTTACGGGAGTGTACTTTACTGCCAGGATGAATTGTGGAAACAGACATGCCAGAACTACTGTCTTTGAAAGGAGAACATTGCTGTCTGAAATGCTTTATTGGACTGTTCAGTGTAACCTTACTCTTGTCTCAAAAGCAACCTTGTTACTTCCCTAGAGATACCATTGTACCTGAAAGGAATGAGAAAAGCAGCTTGGATCATCCTAGTGATTGTTTCTAAGTAGTATTCTCCTCTTATTCTCTCTTTTGTGTCTGTAAGTTCAGATCTATTTTCTTCCTTTTAAAACAAAGTTCCTGTAAATCTGAACATAATTCAGCTTTTTCCTCTTTGCCAGTGCTGTTAGGAATGTACTAAGAAATGAGTAGTGAAAGGTTGCATTTGACAGGAGCCCTGATGTTGGGCTACAAGGCTGAAGGCAAAAGCACATCCTTCCAGCTGTTACCGATATGAGGAGGGATGCACTGTGTGCTTTCCTGGTCTGTGTCTGCCCTTTTATTTATTTCCCCCCGCCGTTAGATAGGAGGCAAGTCTTTTTTATATGTATGCTGAATGGTTTGTGCTTTGTGTTTTTAATACTTTTTTCTTCTGTGACAAAGTGTGGTGAGAAACACCCACGTTACTGTTTTGTCCCATAGTGGTCTATGCATGTGTGTTAATTGATTTCTGCTGAAACACAACCTGGGGAAAAAATACTCATGACTTCATTTAAAGTCAGACAGTATTTGTGAAACCCCAACTATCAGGGATGAAATCCTGAGCAGTATAGGTTATTTTGCAGCCAGCATGTATCTTGTTATTTGCCTCCATGCAGGGTAGTTGCTGTAGACTCCAGTTGCTGCAACAGACTTGAAGTTATCAAGGATTTAAGCTGACAACTTGTGTCTGATATCTCCTATTGTCCATTTGAATGTTTTGTTAAACAGTAGGAGTTTGAGATGCAATCATCTTCATTTTCTGTGGAGCTTTCAAAACTGCGTTTTTAAAAGGTACCAGAAGACTACAAAAGTGTAACACCATGCCTTATTTGCTTTCACAGCAAGAAAAACTGGGTGATATTTGCTTCTCCCTCCGTTATGTGCCTACTGCTGGCAAACTGACTGTCGTCATTCTGGAGGCAAAGAATCTGAAGAAGATGGATGTCGGTGGACTATCAGGTATGTGCATGAAAATCTGCTTGTAGATTTTGCAGGCTTGTAAAGGCATAAAGTAAACTCATTTGCTATTGAAGAACTCTTAGTTTAGAAGGTAGCAACTCTTGTTCACTGTCTGAAAAAGGAGTTTGTGTTTTCTGAAAGTTAGGGCATGACTGAGTGTATCAGAACTCATTCTAGCTTTAAAAAAAAGGATTTTCATTCTACATGGCATTCCTTTCCAAGACAAGGTCTGAAGAATTAAACATTCAGATCACAGTACAAGCTCTCTGTACTCTCCTTCTCTCCTGTTGCCTGGAGATAAATACAGACTATTCAAGCAAGAGGAAAAAAATCCGTCTACAGTTCCTATTGTCTGTCTGATCTCACAAAACATGAGCGTTTTCCTGCAGTGTTGCTCATACATAATAGAGGATCTCGTGACAGGTCACCATGCTGACTGCTGGTTGAGGTGCTAGGATAATTGTCTATACATTTGAAGGGCTCAGGTGTGGTTGCCTCCATGCACGGAGTTGGGGGTGCTCTACATTTGCATGTACACCTGCAGTCAGAATTAGAGTCTTGCGGTTGTGGTAGTCAGTGACATTGATATCTCCAACACAACTAAAAATATTCCTTGTAGTCTTTCCTCATACTGTACTGTACAGTACTGGGCTGTACACAGCATGAGTGAGATGATGTATGCCATCTCTAAAGGATGGTGCAGTCAGCACATGTGACATTAGGGCTGTGTCCTAGGGTCCTGGTGGGGCTCCATGTAGGCTTCTGTTCTCTGCTGTGTCTGGAATTTGTAACCAAAATACACAAAGAAACGTGAACCTGCTAAAAGCAAACCTGAAGATCTTGTTTGCCACTTGTAATGAACAGTAATAGGAGTGCCTTCACAAAGTGGGAGGAGACAAAGTTTCTTACCAGTAACCAGTTACCTATTTTTATTTTACGTGCTTTTAAAGTCTTCTACTGTACAACAACAGACATCATAAAGTAAAAGACATCAAAATATTGTAGTCATTAATTAAATCAGATCTAGCTTTTTCTTGTCTAAAATGGATGCTGGATTAGGAGACACAACTAACAGTTTGCCTAATGCTCATACTCAACCATTGCAAATTAATGTTCTTAAGTACATTTGCTTCCTAATCGGAATCTTAGATTCTACTAGTAAAGAAGAGCATGGGTCTTTTGACAGCAGTGTAGCTCTGAGAGCCAAAGCATCTGTATTCTTTTCCAAGCTTTGCAAGAAATGTGATGGAAAATAGATACTCATAAGAAAAAAAAGAAAGGGGCAGGAAAGAATTAATGAACTGAAGACCTTCTGCAGACTTCACATGGAAAATACAATGTGTTGTATTGGAAATAACTATGAGGAAGTGAATGGGCTTACTCTCCTCTATGATGAAGCGCATAGAGGATGTTGAAATATATTTCTAGGGGATGACAGGTTTTGTCCTCCTTTTTTAGGGCCGTGCCAAACTAGATACATCATGTTCTCTGAGACAAACAAACCCAATGGGATACCGTGGTTATAGCAGGAATTCAAAAGTCACTGACAGTGATAAATGGCAGTTAGTACGGTATTCCTGAGGCAGTAATTATAGATTAAATAATGTTGGTTTAAAGTGGATCCAGTATCTTTCATTAGGGAATTTATCTTTTGAATAAATTATGCGGAAATAACATCTGAAATCAAGCTGAGATTCTGTTGTCATTATTCACACTAAATAATACCTGCTCTCAAAGTACAGTAATGTTAAGTGGCAATGAAGGTGACAGGATTTTATCTTGATTAGTGAATGCTTTCCCCACTAGTTTTGTTATTTTCTCTAGGTACTAAATTGGCTTTTTGTTTTGCAAAACCCTAAGTTTTATGTTGCAGTGGAGGTGGAAATTGTTAACAATCAAATGTGATCTCCAACTGAATGTTACCTATAGACTCAACAGCACTTACTGTCACCAAGGGAAAGCTGTTAGCAAGAGGTGAAAATTATGTAGTTGACACAAATGGGGAAAACTTCAGACAAAGTATCTGGGTTTTGAGTTTAGAATGTGTTTTCATTGTTCTCTCATATTTTGGAGAAGAGGCTGGAAAAGCAGAACACAGACATTTGAAAAGGGCTCTGCTTTCTCTTGTATCATAGAACCATAGAATAGTTAGGGTTAGAAAGGACCTTAAGATCATCTAGTTCCATCCAGCCAGTTCTTTATCCATTGAGTGGTCCATCTATCAAACTGATGTCTCTCCAATTTAGAGACAAGGATATCATGTGAGACAGTGTTGAATGCTTTACACAAATCCAGGTAGATGACATCAACTGCTCTCTGCTGCTGTCCATGAGTTCTGTAGCCCCATCATAGAAGGCCACCAAATTGGTCAGGCAGGCTTTCCCCTTAGTGAAGCCATGCTGGCTGTCACCAAGCACCTTGTTGTTTTCCATGTGCCTTAGCATGCCTTCCAGGACAATCTGCTCCAAGATTTTGCCAGGCACAGAGGTGATACTGACTGGTCTGTAATTCCCCAGGTCATCCATTTTCCCTTTCTTGAAAATGGGGGTTATATTTCCCTTTTTCCAGTCATCGGGAACTTCACCTGACTGCCATGATTTTTCAAATATGATGGCCAGCAGCTTAGCAACTTCATCCACCAGCTCCTTCAGGACCAGAGGATGGATTTCATCAGGTCCCATGGACTTGTGCATGTTCAGGTTCTTAAGATGGTCTCGAACCAGTTCCTCTCCTACAGTGGGCCCAAGGTCTCCATTCTCACAGTCCCTGCGTCTGCCTTCCAAGACTTGGGTGGTGCAGTCAGAGCCTTTGCTAGTGAAGACCGAGGGAAAGAAGTCATTCAGAACCTCAGCCTTCTCCAAATCCTGTGTAGCTAGTTCACCCAAGAGCTTCCTGAGGGGGCCTATGTTCTCCCTAATCTGTTTTTTATTTGCTATGTACCTGTAGAATCCCTTCCTGTTATCCCTAATATCCCTAGCCAAGTTTAATTCTAACTGGGCCTTAGCTTTCCTAACTTGGTCCCTAGCTTCCTGGACAACATCCCGATATTCTTCCCAGGCCACCTGTCCTTGCTTCCACCTTTTATAAGCCTCTTTCTTCCTTCAAAGTTTCCTCAGCAGCTCCTTATCCATCCAAGGTCTTCTGGCCCTCCTGCTGCACTTCCTTCTAGTTGGGATGCAACACTCCTGAGTTTGTAGCAGGTGATCCTTGAAGACCAACCAAGAGTCTTGGGCCCTCCTGCCCTCTAGGGCTATATCCCATGGAACCTTACTAAGCAGGTTCCTGAAGAGGCCAAAGTCTGCTCTTTTGAAGTCTAGGGCAGTGAGCTTGCTGCACACTCTTGTCACTGTCCTGAGGATCTTGAATTCTACCATCTCATGATCACTGCATCCAAGGCTGCCCTGGAGTGCCACATTTCCAACGAGCCCTTCCCTGTTGGTGAGCACGAGGCCAAGCATGGCACCTCTCCTTCTCAGCTCCTCTATTACTTGCAGAAGGAAGTTGTCTTCCACACAATTGAAGAACCTCCTGGATTGCTTGAGCCCGGCCATACCATCGCTCTGACAGATATCAGGGTGGTTGAAGTTCCCCATGAGAACAAGGGCCTGCAAGCATGAGGATATTCCTATCTGTCTGTAGAGTGCTTCATCCGCAGATTCCTCTTGATCAGGCAGTCTGTAACAGATCCCCACCGTAATGTCTCCCATTGCTGTTCTCCCTTTAACCCTGACCCACAAAATCTCTGTCAGCTGCTCACTAGTCCCCAGACAGAGTTCCGTACTCTCCAGCCTATCCCTAACATAAAGGGCAACTCCCTCTCTGCGCCTGCCAGGCCTGTCTTTTCTAAAGAGTCTGTAACCTTCCATTCCAACACTCCAGTCATAGGAGCCATCCCACCATGTTTCTGCGATGCCTGTTATATCGTACCCCTGTAGACGTGCACACATCTCTAATTCCTCTTGTTTGTTACCCATACTATGGGCGTTTGTATAGAGGCATCTGAGCTGAATTCCAAATGAAGCCAGCTGACACTGCAGTCTTTTAAACTTATTCTTAGAAAATTATTAAATTCATAATTGTGGTCAATCAGACTTAAATGCATACTTGATTTTTAACATGTATATTTATGTTGTACTGATAGAAAGCCCAATTACAGAAATACCTATCAACAGCAGTTGATTGATCGAAGTAGATTGAGAGTACCATCTTTCCTGGCATTTTTGCAGAGCTTCTGCTGTGAAACCTTAATCCTACTCATCAGTGTGTATATATATATATATATATATATATAGCCTATCTGATTGTTACTACAGTTGCAAAAAATGAAAGGCTTTGTCTCCAGCATTTTGAACTTTTCCATAAATCTTATTAGCAGTCAAAAGCCAATCACGTTACTTCAGAAACTGGCAATAAAAAGCAACAGACTAATGATGAAATTCAACTCCTTGTAACAAAACTCAGATCACCCATCTGAGCAATAAAGTCCCAGGTCTTAAACTTAATTGCAACATCAGGCTGTGACTAAAGCAAACTTTGGCTCCAACACTGGAACTATTCAGCCTGAGCTCATCGTGTGTCCACAGCAAGTGGAAACTATTATTTCTGGTGAGCAAGGGCCTCTGGCAAACAATTATGGACGTTTTAAAATGGAATTTTAATTATTTAAATTATATTCAAATGCATTTTTAATGAGTTGGACATCTGGCAGGTAATATATAGGAAGGTAAGTTATAGACAGATTATTTTTATTTGTCTGAATTTGTTAATTTGGGTTATATGGCTTTATAGTTCAGTATCCTTCACCAAGCATGTCTACAAGACTTAGATCTTACTGAAAATCAAAGGAACTTAGACCCCAAAGACACTCTGTTGTTTGGTTTTTGTTTGTTTGCTTGTTTGGTTTTATTTTAAATTCATTTAGATGATTTGCAAAACTGGAAGATCTTGAAACCAATTTTCCATATTGCCTCTCCAAACAGGCCATAGAGATGTAGTCAGAC